GACTAGAACAATGGAGTCAGTTGCAGTTTATTGGGAAAATTAAGACTTACACGTGGTTTCTGGCTATGTTTCTGAGATTTCCCAACTATAAACCCACTAACGAAGCTATGTTTGGGCACAAATTGTGTGATTAAGGGCCATGGGCTTAAGAATAACTTGTTATTTACTACCGTATAAAACCAAAGAAAACTCTCTTTCTTTTTTAAGATACTTGGGCATGGACTTTCATCATTTATAATAGTTGGACATCAACTGAAAAATAGGGACAACCCCACCTCTAATCTAAAGGGTAGCCTTGTGAAAATTAGAAAAGTCATCCTTTCCTCCTGTCACTTTGCCACCATCAGCCACAAAACCGTTATGCCGACAGTCCAAATCTACAGTCAACACAAGTGTGAATGGAATCCCCAGAGATAGACATTGCAAAACCCTTACTTCCTGGGCTTCACTGCCAAGAGAATAAAATCAAATTATAGTCTCAACATTTTTGCTAACTTTAACATATCACTTCTTAACTTTGGGATTTAATTTCGTCATCTGGAAAAAGCTTGACTAGATAACCTCTTAAAATGATGTCTTGAGCAATAATGAAAGGGTTTTTTTTTGGCATAAGGAGCATTTCAGTAGCTGTGTAACACAGCCTGCTTGCTTGGGTTTTCAAACTGTCCATGTTTTCACTTAATTTTTCTTCACAATGAAACTTCCTCCAAGCCCTATTCTTCCAGGTCAAGAAAATCTCTCCACTGAAAAATACATGCTCTTTAAAATTCAAAAAAAAAAAACAAAAACAAAAACCCTGAAATTATAAAAAACAAAGCCAGGAGATCATAGGGCATGAGCATGCCCATAGCAGAAGCACTTCTCTGGGATGGCTAGCCCTAGCTGCAGCTGCTGAGGCCACTGCAACCAACAGGAGAAGTCCTGCATCCTTCCTGGAGCCCACTGTTGTCGGTCCAAGAGAGGTGATTTTGAAAGTTATCAGCAGAGCTGCATTAGTTCCAGACAGTTGTTTCATGGCAAATCTATTCCTCCCATTGCCAGACATTTAGTAACTTTGGCCCTCACTCATGAAATGCCACAAACAACCCTCTGATCATTATGACACCCAAAGAGCATGTCCTCGGCTTTTAGAAGTGGCATTGACTCTGGTTGAGAAACCATTTTAGCATTGAGTTGCACTCTGGTCTTGGAAATTTGCTTCTGAAACACACTACTATATCTTTGCCAGAAGCCACAAAGGTCAGGAATAAACCTCTTTAAAAGAAGAGGGTGAAAAAGTATACAGTACTTGGAAGAGTACATTGCTCCTGGTTTCTCGGAAAAACTGGGCCTCCTGTCTCTGTAACTACTAAGGAAATTGAAATTCAAACAAATTTCCTAAGTTCACTCATTACATAGTAAGTTGCCTTGACTCTACAAATAAAATCTATTAAGAACCTAGCATCTCAGTGTAGTTATAATGTGCATCATAATGACATTGAGATCGCTGTCATTTATTGATTGCTTGCTATGTACCAGCATTTTACACATCTCATTTCTCCTTTCCACAGCGAGATAGAAGTGATTATCCCCACATCCTTACACAGATGAGAGAACAGCTGCCCCAGGAAGAGCAGCAGTGCAGCCAAGCTCTCATGGTCAAGGAAAGGGCAGAAGTAGGATTCAAACTAAAGTTCCCAAGACTAAAAAGCTCAATTTCACTGCCTTGGCCAACAGCCACAGTGTCTTTCAAATCAGCCTTACTTTCAAGTAGTAGGAAAAGCAACTGAAATCCCAACTTTTGAACCAGGCTATTGATAGTGATACTAAAAACAATTATTTTGTATTGTTTTCTACCAGAAATATTATTTTTCATTATTGCTAAGACTACTCTTAGCAGGGTCCCCTCATGAGCAGAAGAAAATGCCCCCTGTTGTTCCATGAGAGACAGATCAGATGGAGAAGTGTAACAACAAACTCTAGACAGTGATTCCATTTCCCTCATTTAGGGGATGGAACAGCAATCCCCCTCTTTTCTGATTCCCAGCCTCCTAAGTGATGTTTTAGTTCTATAGTTGCAGAAGTGTTTTGAAAGGATGGAGAAAGTTTTACAGAGTTGCCTTTCAAAACTCTTAATCAGTGTTTCCATCACAGAGTAAATTGGGGTGTTGAACCACTGGTGAGTATATTGAATACTGATGTGTTTTAAATTTTCCCAAGAAGGAAAATAACCAATTGACTACATTGGTCCTAATTGGCTGGGAGACATAACTATTAGTGAGGCTTTTATTTTTCTATTTTTTCTTCCAGCAACTTCAAATGCAAACACGTCATCAAATATATTGATATACCTATTGATAGACATCTCCCAAGTCATGTGTTGTAGAAACTATCATAAAATGCTGTCCCTTTGCTCTCTGTTATCTCTAGAGAAACCAAAATGATCTTTTCTAAATTATGTTCAGTCACTGGGTCTGCACTTCATTTAGAACATTCGAAATGCCTTGTCATGAATGACCAGGCCTAGGGGTCTTGCTACTGCTCCCCCCACCCGCTACTGCTCCCCCCAACCCCGCCCCTGAAGTGCCCCTTTTTCCTCTCACTCTCTAACTCTAACCGTGGTCAGGATTTCAGCATTTACCCTGCCTCCTCATGGACCATTGTTCCCTCCTCATCTTTTACTTAGCTCATTCTTTCTCATTGCTCAACTTTCAGCTCAGACTTCATCTCAACAGAAAATTGTTTCCTGGTTTCCTCAGTTTATCATCCTTTTACCTCCAATCACATTACATTCTTTTGTTTTATTCTTAAAAACAACTTTTTCAGCATTTGAAATGATCTTATTTATGTCTTGTTTGTTTTTAAACTGGAAGGAAAACAGGAAATTTTCCCATCTGATTTGCCGTCGTACCCTTGTGGCTAATATTGAACCCAGCATATATTAAAGTTCAAAAGTATTTCTTAGATAAATAAATGAATGAATGAATAAGTGAATTCCAGTTCTGTGCCTGCAATAAAATATAAGCCTCAGATAATTACCACAAATCACACAAATATTTGAGTTGTCCAGATCACATAAATATGGGAAAGTTGAGATTAAAATCAAAATTATAAAATTTCTTTTTATTGTTTCCTGGTCTGCTTATCCAGAACAGGAATTTTATTGGGAAGCAGGGGTCAGAGCCTGGGAAAATCCAGTACTGCTTCACAGGGAGAAATTTCTGCCCATGCTCTGTCTCTCCGGGGATCAGTTCTCCCTTTATAAGCTCCAGCTCTTCTGCTTACTCCACAGACACTCGCTGATTCTTATGAAACTGTTCATGGTGAACATCAGATCATTGCCAAATATCCTATGTTACACTAATTCCCAGGCCCTCTCACCTGCCAAAAACAAATCTTTTGGCATCCCTCTTCAACATCAACCCTACCAAAATGATGACATCCATGATCTGGTCTCCTCTCCTAGCAATGAGCTTGTACCGTCTTAAGTCTTTGGGTTTCAAAAAGAAATAACCTTTTCTCTAGTGCCTATATACGTCCCAGGTGTTCTATTATAGAGTTCACAGAATACAAATGGAAAAAGGTTATTACCAGACAGAAGTGTTTAAAATGAAAATCAAACCTAATACATGGACTCAGACACCTGGAATAAGGAATATAATATTTATAAAACTGAGTGGAAGCTGCAATCATTGCTCTAAAATAAAACATTAAATATTAATTCAGAGCAAACCTGTCTGTGCTGCAGCAAACCTCTCTTTCATTAAGGTAGCACTGCATGTTCCTCCAGAATTAGTTCCCTCAAATAGGTAAATAGCTTGTAAGAACAGAGCGTTCTGCAAACTACAAAAAAAATCTACCTGAGGCACGATCTAGATTTACCTTTAGAATTAAAGCATTATACACATTTAATTTTAAACCAATTAATTGTGATTCTTGTAGATTCTCTACATTTTTGCCCTTGGGTTTCACTAGGAAAGTATAATTCACATGCTTCTTATTCATCTTCATTCAATTAAGTCATGTGACAGCACATTAAATATTAGGAAACTGCCAGTTATAAGTTGTACTTTAAAAATCTTCATAGATGTTTCTATTTCAAAGTTTTGTGTTTCACATTTTTAAATCTTTTCTCCTAATTGTCTACTTTACATTGGTATTTTATTAATTATTATTATTACTCTTATTTTCCATTTCCTACCTTGGAATATGATAAAAAAAAACAGAAAAATAAAATTGCTAAATTGCTAGTTTTTTCTGCATTTACTATTGAGATGAGGTTTTTATTTAGCCCAATTGATACCATTCCTCTGAAGCCCTAAAATAAATAACCTTATAACCTCTAGATTCTATTGACTTTTGAATGATTTCAAATAAAAAGCATCCAGTCCCACTGCACTGACAAACCGCCCAGTCCCTGGGCAAAACCTATTGGATTCCTATTAAGCGAAGGGGGTAGGAAACAACACAGAATCCAGAGAGTGAGTCTGAAATGGAACCAGGAGAGGTGGCCGTGGCTCAGCTCAGTAAACGGGTTTTTAACCTTTGACCAGTGACGACAGGTCTCTTTTAGTTCTATTAGGCCAAGAGCAAGCTGTTATGATTTAATAAAAAAGAAAAAAAAACTGTTTAGAGCCTTACTGAATATGTTGTGGGAATTAAAGCATATGGCAGGGATAAGGAAAAAAGATTTTCCTTATGCTAATGACCCATGATGTCTGAAATAAATTAAATCCATTAGAGTTTATGCTCAATAAAAGAAAGACTTTAAGCACTCCAAAGCTAGTGACTCGAGACCAGTTTTTGCTCTGAAATTCAATCTGCCTAGTTATTAATTCTCACTGAGACTCCCGAGCAGACAGGAGATGCAAAATCATAGTTCTATACTGAACCAGAATTTTAAAGGACCACAGGACTCTTTTCCTTTTCTTTTAATTAAACATTTTTCATGTTTCTTATTTTGTTTCCTCATTAATTTGATTTTGTTCCTATTTTTGCTTCATTTTTTGTTTCTTTTCAAGGTTTCATTTATCCTATTTCAACTGAACAGAGAACCCAGAATGAATATGGATTTTCTTGTAAGTTTGATGTTTGGTTTTTATGTTGCTGAATAATCTTTTAACGATGTTGCCCCTGGTTCAAGTTTACCTTTCTTTAGAACACAGATGTGCACACAGGAAATAGGCAACTATTATATTTTAACATGAAAAACAAATTAGATTTTCACTGCTGAAGAGAAGAAAGGGTCATTTCAAGCCTCTGCCTACCATTCCAAACTTGAGTCCCAGTAGCTGACAAAACATGTCCTAAAATACGCTGCTGTGAATGAACAAAGGCCAGGATTCGAACGCTAAAAAATAAAGGGTTGAGAAAATGCAGATCGATTGAGTTTTAAAACATGAATGTTGAATATGTAATTAGAGCCTGCCAAAATAAAATGTTAAGGGTTTTGGTACTCTGTTCTGAGCAGAGTTCAGAAGGCAGGGCAGAAGACAGAACCCAGCAGCACAGCAACATCCGCCCACACTTTGAAGCAGTGCTCACACAGCCGAGGGCACTTGGAATGTCCCTGGCCTCTGAAGATGTTGGTGAATATTGACTGGATTGCTAGGAAAGCAGGTATTCTGGAAACTTTGGGAAAGACAGTGGTTTAGAAGAAAAAAATAATACTTTTACCTACAGTACATTTAAACATGAAATTCTAAAAGAGACATAGTCATTTCCAACAGGGAATTTCTCCATACTGTCAATGTGTCAAAGAAACCATGGTGTGCAAATGTAGGTGATCCCATGAGCCACTGACAAGTTAAAAGAAGAGTCACTTCAACATGTACAACTTGTGGCTGTGAGTCTGATAGAATAGTGGTTCCTCAACTCTTGGAAGGTCAAGGAACCTATAAAACTGAAAATCCCCCCCCCAAAATGCACGTACAGATAAAATTGACCATAAGAACACTACTGTTGACCACCTGAAGTATCTATTTAACCACATCTTTTACAGTTAGCCAAGAAGCTTCAATTAACTTTGCTGAAAATATTTGTAGGCACAGAAAACTAAAACAGAGACTTAAACATGTCTATGGGATCCAGGAAAGATTTACTTTTTTGTGTTTTGTTTTATTTGTCAGCTTCTACCACCTTTTGCAGTTGGATCAGTGCGTGTCCTGTGCCACCAGGGCAACATGCAACTTTCCAGAAACGTTGGTCTGTCTCCACCCAGAAGCAGACCCCACCATCTGACCACGCACTGTGTTGGTCAAATGCTTAATTGCCTTCAGGGGTAGTCTGAGCTTTCTGATCACTGAACCAGGCCTTTATCTTACTCAGTACACAGTAGAGCTGCATTTTATTACAGTAGTGAGTAGCTCCAATGTAAATCTCTCACAAGAGACATGAGAAAGGAGCGCGGGGTTCTCGCAGGTAATACTGAGTCTGTATGAAAGCCTGGAGTGACCAGTGTTAACCTCTGCTCCACAGATCTGGGACTTCTGAAAGCACGTCTTTCAGATCCAACGTGTTTGCTCCTCACGTTTGCTTTGCTCAGCTACACTATTCCAACCCACCCACATCCATTGATTTAAGGGAAAGTGAGCAGGGTATTATGGAAAGTAATTTCATGACTTGGAAGGTACTAGAAAAACATTCCAGTTTGATAAATATATAGATTCAGAGCATCCCAGATAGTTCTAGCAGAGTGTTTATGTTTTTAAAGAACTATCAGTAAATTCAAGGTCACCTTCCAAGTTAGTAATAAGCTTTTCTCTCCTGTGTGTCAGGATGGTTCTAGCTCCAGTTCCTTTTGATGCCTCGTAATATATCATCTGTTTTGCTGCCCAATTAAAGATAGATGAGTGGGTAGATAGACGTAGAGTGAGAAAGGAAAACAAATCAGGGATAATTTTCTACTAAAAAGCTATGGTTGTTTTATGTAGCTTTTGGAATAGATTTAAAATTAACCTATAAAAAAGGCAGTAAATGTCTGAAAAAATTACAGTAATATGTATGTCTACTATGGGAAATTTCTCTAACCAGTTGGTCCAATATTTCCTTCTCCTGTTTAGCTGCTCCTGATTCAGATGACATTGCTCTGTATGTTGGCGTTGTGATTGCTGTCATTGTTTGCCTGGCCATCTCTGTAGTCGTGGCCCTGTTTGTGTACCGGAAGAATCATCGTGACTTTGAGTCTGATATTATTGACTCTTCAGCACTCAATGGAGGTTTCCAGCCTGTGAACATCAAGGCAGCCAGACAAGGTCAGCTGATGCTGCACTCTGCACCTGCAACTTCTGCAAATAAGTAGCCTCTCTGGGCAGCTCCAACCTCAGGGAAATCCTCCAGTGTAGCTAGACCATAAGCTCCATGGAGATGAGGGTTTTGCTCTGTATTGTTAATCACTGTATTAACTTCATTCACATAACAAGTTAGAGTGTACAAGGTGCATGGTCTTTTTTATTCTTGAACAGTTTCCTCTGTCATACTTTTTAACTTTTATTTGAAAATAGAATATGGACTGGTTGACTAATTCTTAAATCTCTTTTTTCCCTCTCTTTTGACAAGACATCTTATATTGCAATGAATACAGTGGCCTAGAGATGAACCAAAATCCAGTATAGACAAGCGAAACTATGACCCATAGTCACCTAGTGGGGATCACTATCTAAGAATCTCATCTGCTGAAATAACTAAATACTTCAGAGCAATGAGTAGACTTCAGGGCAGAATAGAGAAGCTGTCTATTTATTTGTAGCCAGTAATATTGTGGATCTTAGTCATCTAATTGCCCTGTTTTCCACAAAACTGTAATATCTGTACATCTCTAACATTTGCTGAGTTTCTTTGCATTTGACTCAGAAAGTGTTGGGGGTAAGGGGTTAATGTAAGTTGACTGAGTGAAGAATCCAAATAGACTTCCTTTCTCTTTCTGACCCAGATATCCTGGCAGTACCTCCAGACCTCACATCAGCGGCAGCCATGTACAGGGGGCCGGTCTATGCCTTGCATGATGTCTCGGACAAAATTCCCATGACCAACTCTCCGATTCTGGATCCACTGCCTAACCTGAAAATCAAAGTGTACAATACCTCAGGGGCTGTCACCCCCCAAGACGACCTCTCTGAGTTTGCATCAAAGCTGTCCCCTCAGATGACTCAGTCCTTGTTGGAGAACGAGGCCCTCAACCTGAAGAGCCAGAGTCTGGCACGGCAGACCGATCCATCCTGTACCGCATTTGGTACCTTCAACTCGCTCGGGGGTCACCTTATTGTTCCCAATTCAGGTAGTCCCTACACGTTTAAATCACAAAGGCAGGGCTTTAAAACATATTTTTGTACAAAATCTGTTTTTGTTTGTTTTCATTAGGCCTGAAAAGTTAAATGTAGCCTATCTAACCTGGGTCTACTTTCAATGTAAATCTACGTTACTTTAGACAAAATCAGAAAAACCATTCATCTTCCCCCAACCAATTCTGAAAACGCTTCCTCTCTATATATTATGCGCACAACTTGCTGCCAAGGTGTAATTTAGAACTGCTTTTGACCTCCTTCTTAACAGAGCTTCACGAGGCACATCAAGCCAGAAGCTCTTACTGTTGTCTTCACACTTTAAAAGGACAAATTAATTAGGAAATATATCAGTTGGTTCAGTTCCAATTCACTATAGGAAGCAATACTTCAGAATACTAATTTTTAGATGACCAGAGGACATCATAATAGACATCAAATCTTTATTTATTAACTCTTTATTACAGTCTTTAGCCTCAAGGTTTCACAGGATGCTCACTCCTGTTTCTGATAGAGCTGTATAGAATCACAGTTTCAACATGTGGCATTTTGCAGTGTTACTTAGTTGTTATTTTATTATTGAATTATCTGCTTCCATAGAATAAGCCTCATAAAAGTCTTAAATGGTGAATTTCAGTCAGTGACTGACAGTGTTATTAAATTTTGGTATTCATTAATCAGTAGTAGTAACGGGTTCAGAACTCTCAGGAGGTTAATGGATTGCTCTGTGAATCAGCAACCTTAGCTCTTTTGGACAAGACTGAGTGTTTTGCGAATACAGCAATAAGAAACAATTTGGTCGACCTAAAGTTTTCATGTAACATAAGAATATAATGAGACAACAGCCATACAGACAATATACAGAACCACTTGGTCTTCAGGTGCAAATATGAACTTGTCTTTGATTATTTCTCTATTCGGTCCCCCATTTCCCCCATTTCATGCCTTGGCGATGTTTCACCCCATATCTTTAAAAGTACATTTTAATAAATTGAAATACTTAGTAGAATATTATTTTCATACATTTTTCATAGTTGGGATCATACATTATATAAAATGCTTTTTCGTCTTTTTCTTATTAATTCTCATGCTCTTGCATGCACTTTAAAAATCATGATTTTTAATGTATTTTAATAGTATATCAAATGAATAAGTCAAAATATGTTCTATTATTCTTCATTGTTTAAATACTGTATTATTTGCAAGACAATTTTTAATCATATTCACTGAATTCTACCTTTCTCTGCCATTGCTACACCTGTCATTTTTTCATAGATTATTATAAAAACTTCTCAAGTGGATAGGAGAGAGCTAGCATGTATTAAATATTTTCTGTGTTCTAGGCAATGGTGATTTACATACATTATTTTATTTAATAGAGTAACAATAGTTATCTAAAATGTGCCAGGGCTTATTCTTATTACTTTACACCTATAATTTTATCTCATTCCCATAATAAACACAAAGGTACATTGTATTGTTCCCATTGGAAAAAAATACTGAGGTGTGGCAGAGTCGTGTGTGGTCTGCCTGCTTCCGCTCTGTGCCTCCTTAAACCGCTCCCTACACTAGTGTGATGTCCCACTTCCCACACCTCCATAGCCCCCTTGTTACTTACCTTCTCAAAAAAGCTGTGACTCAACATTTCAACCACTTATGCAAGGCCTTTGAATAACTCCTCCTCCTAATTCTCCATCCTTTGTTCTTGAGACTTTCCAACATAATCAGGCAAGTTTTCTTATTGCCCTACACTCATTGAGCATATTCAATTTCCTTGCTAATTAAATTATAAGCTATTAAAAGACAAGAAACTATCTTTTCTTGGCATCCGCAATAGCACCAAGCACCATACTCACCATGGTGCTCTGCACATTTGTACTGAGTTGAACTAATCTACATTTATTGGGATAAAATCATGAAATCATGAATCCAAGTATCTTCAGACTGCCAGCCACCCCACATTATCCCCTGGGATGACACTGCAATCGTGCAGACCAGTGGTTCTAACGGTGCGGTCCCCAGTCCACCATCATTGGCATCACCTGGCAGCTCGTTAGAGCTACAAAAATTTATAATTTTGTGAGAGCTATAAAATCAGAAACTCTGGGGGCAGGATCCTGTAATTCATATTTTAGCAAGTCCTCTGGGTGATTCTGAGGCAAGCTCAAGTTGCAAACCACTGCTGTAGGTACAGTTAACTAGAACAGAGGTCAATCCAATAGTCCTACGGAATGGCTCTCATTAGCAACTGGGCGAAAAACTGCTGGAAGGGCTGGGACTACAACCAGCAGGACTGTTCACTTTCTGTGGAGTTATGTATGATGAAAGGAGTCCTTCCTCACTTACTATTTTGTTACAGAAAAACACTGATGCTGACTAGATATTTCGGAAATAAATGTGTTTTTTTTTATATTGTTGGAGTTAGTATTTCTCTAACTTTGAATCTTGTGGGTATTTTTTAAAATTAGAAACAATGCATCATTACAGCTGTTTGGCATTTTAAGAGCAGTTGTTGGACTTCCCTTCCTTTGACAAGGAAAACAACAGTGGGATGATCTGTTTATTCCTTAAATGAAACAAGAGCTTAAAAAATTACATCGTTTCTTTAATTCCAAAACAGTTCAGAGAGAGCTGTGGTAACAAATAAGACCAACAAGGAAGAAAAGGAGGGCAGCCGTGAATATTAACATTTACAAGTCTTTAGAGAAAAAGCAGGCTTATAGCTACATGGCTACAACATCTCACTCCCTTTCACTTGCTTCAGAAACATCCTGTGAAGTTTCCTTTTGATTCATAAGTCTTATGTGACTTCTTTTCTCTTTTGCTCTTCAGGAGTGAGCTTGCTGATTCCCGCTGGGGCCGTTCCCCAAGGGAGAGTCTACGAAATGTATGTGACTGTACACAGGAAAGAAAATATGAGGTGAATATGTACTTCTGGCACACTTGACTTTATTAATGTCTGATTTGATGGGAATTGTACAATAGAAATAATAAACCCAATATATTTTTGCCTTGAACGCCCTGTGTCTAGCACAGCCTTGTTTTCCTAGACCTCTAAAAGGTTGATTTTTACTTCTCTTTATCTTTGAGTTTGCAGACACTTTGGCAGATCTTGAGTATGGGCTATGGGTAGAAAGCTAGACATCTCCTCCCAAGTGGATCTCTGGCCGTATTAGCTGAAAAAATGGCCATAAACATGACCCATAGATTGTTCAGAGAGACACAGAAATGCGAGCCATAAACTGTCTAGAGAGATCCATGGGCGGACACAGCCACATCAGCTTCGTGTGGCCTGGCTCAAGAATCCAACCTTTCCCCAGTATGGAGTTGAAGGTTACAAGAATTAGACAAACCCTAACCCCTGACCTGTCACCCCCACCTCAACCTAGCACTTGTATTCTCACCTGAAGATTCTTCTTCCTGTGACTTTTTCTAACTTAAGTGTTATCAACCTCTTTATGTTTACCACCTGTAAACTCCACACAGAGCCTTTCTAAATGGAGCCAGGGTTGATTAAAACTAGACTGAATCGAAACATTTTGTTTCAAATGTGTCATAATCATAAAGATGCAGTTATTGTAAGTGAAACTTACAAAAGGGGTTTAGACGTCCTAAATTCAATTTTTAGTCTGGCCTCTAACAAATTATATATGGTATTTCTTGCTTAGTCCCCCCGTAAAGTGCATGTGTTAAATAGTGCTTTAAAGGCCTGACTGATTGTTTCTGAAATACACAGATGTTAAAATAAAGGATGTCATTGAAATAATGATCCTTACATGTAATTTGCCCTGTTTTTCCCAAGGGAAAAGGCATCAGCTCTGTAGTCCTGAGCTCCGAATACAAAGCATTAGTGACAGATGTAGAATCAGGTTACCATTATAACACATTATACCTCTTCTCTTCCCCTCTCTCATCCTCAGAAAAACATCCATTTCTGCTCTTCTTCAGTAGCCGAAAAGCTCTTTCATCATGCTTGCAGGTGGAGATACTGATATTTGTAATCGGTAGGGCCCGGGACATTTTTTCCTCAGGTGGTCTGCTTTCCCTACATAAACACTAGCCTATCTGAGGGAATAATAAAATTTTTTGAGCATTATTCATGCCTTAAATTTGAGCAGCAGAAAATCACTAAAAGGCTTGTATTTACTCACATCAAATATTCATTTTTTCATTCTCAATGCAAAGTAATACTCATGGGCCCAGAGAGACCTTCTTTGCAGCAGCAGAAATGAGGATTAGCAAGCTCCGAGATCCCTTTGTATTTTTCTTCTTTCTCTTGTCCAGAGTCAAGGTTAGCACTAAGTACTTCCATCTCTCAAGGCCAGGCCAACATGGGCATTTTGTCTAAACAGAAATGAGTATTGGCTGTTTTTTATGCTAAGAAGCAGTGAGGTTGTCCATGGTCTCTTATTTTCCATCTGATCAGCATTATCTTTAGCTGAAGATCCAGCCTGAAGGGGCTGCTGCAGGGTCAGGCTGAAGCTGAAAGAGGTGTGTGCTCACCTGCCTCCCAGGCTTTCCTTCCCACAGTTAAGTCGGCATCTGACCAGGATTATTGTACGTTTCAGATGAAAGAGAGAGCAAACAGAAAATTGATAAAGCTGGACACTTCTGCTTTTAGGTCTCTCTGCCTTTGACTCTAAAGAAAAGGAAACAAAAGCCCTCCTTGCCATGCCTACCACCCGAAGTTAAGTGCAGAGGGCATTATTCTATTGAATTTGGTGTGTATCAAAGATGTTGTGTTTATCAAAATGAAGCTAGAGAAACCTCAAGATCTCAAAAGAACATAGGCACAACAGCCCATGAAACAAGGAACAAACACAAAAAGATAACTGTCTCAAATAAATGAGAAAGTTCCTCTCTTCGTTAATTTTCTGCTGCGAACCAGATGGGTTTTCTCTTGTAAAATCACAATGACAAAGATGTATTCTGGATATAGTTATAATACAAAGTACAGCTACCATTATTTCAGCATACTTTGAATTTCATTTATCCTTCCCTACTACTCTGCACGTTATGATGAACTCCACTTTAAAGATGAAAAAACTAAGTTCAGGGAAAAGAAGTTGCATAGCCACTACTTCACAGTGAAAGGAAGAGCAAAAGCACAATTCACACACGGGTGATCTCACTGCAAAGCTCTTCTGCTCCATCTCACGTGCTGTTCGTCCTCTGTCCCACCCATGCACAAGCCAAGCCTCAGCCTTCTCATTCGTGCATTCTGGGGCACAGTGTCTTCCTGTTGCTCACTAAGACCCTTCTCTCCACAAGTGATATGAGAGATTACTTCTTGCAGAGAAGACACTGTGAGGACATCAGGAGATATGGATGTCTCTTCAAGGCATTATGGGAAAATTCTGATTATTTTCCTCCATTCACCTTCTCTCTGATTCCCTTTATTGTATCCAGAACTGGGTGGTTTTCCAGCTGGATGGGATCCAGCTGGTCATCTGCTGATGTGAACCTTCTAAAGGGAGGCGTGAACTTAATTACATGTGGCATAGTGAATGTGACAAGAGGGGCCTTGTCATTACCGAGTATGCTCTGAGAGAAAGCACTGAATGGCAGATGAGCAGCTGAAATGAGCTGCAGGGATGGCACAAGCTTGCCTCTGACCAAACAGGAGCAGAGCTGTAAGGCTGTGCCTGTGATTTCTACCTCCCCCACTGCACAGACCTCTGGAAAGGCTGCAAAGCCTTTTTTGTGCCCCTGTGGACACAATTTCCACGATTAATGACACTCACATGGGTCTTTTTGCCTTATTTCCAGTAGCATTTTTTAAAAAATGAGCCTGGCTCAGACTGAAATTTTACCCATTGTCATTTCTTATTGAAAAACAATTTGAATTGAAGATATAAACATTAATTTTCCCTTTTTCTATACTTACTCTGCACTTGCCTAGCCGTTTTCTCAAAAGATCGAAAAATCAATTTAGACATTCTAAATATGAAGGTAAATAGAACTTTTTTTATAAACTATGGGGGGTGGAAAGTCTTTCAGCAGCCAAGTGGTACAGGAATAACAGTGCTTTTTAAGGATTGCTCTGGTGATGGTGGGTGGGGTGAACTGGTGGTGGGAACAGAAAGACTGCCCCAGAGGTGGAGGGCCTAGTCAGGCTGTGGCAGTAATTTAGATGTGAGGAGAGTGAGGACAGAGCCAGGCTGGAGTCTGATGGATGAAAAGTGAACTGCATTTCAGAAGAAAAAGTATTGCACAGCTGGTTAGAAGTGATGCAAAACCACACAGAATATATACTTAGGTATCAAGCTTTGGACACCGGGAGAATGAAAGTGGTCAGAAACAGCAACTGGTCCCAGAAGGGCAAGGACATTCTGAGTTAGGTGGGCACAGCATGTGCAAGTGGGCGTACAGGATTCGTGCCAAAGATGCAGGTGGGAAGACACCAGTGAGCGGATCCTCCCAGAGAAAAGGCACAGAAGCAGAAAGAGAATTAGGGAACAAACCTTGGGATATAGTCCTGTGTATGGTTTGGTTGTGATGAGCAAAACAAAAGAGAACATGAAAGGATAAGAGTGTTTATCCTGTATGGTGCTTAGCACATAGTGGCTTCTCAAATAAACGTTTTCAATGTAAGAATGAATGTTTCTGAGTGCCATAGGGAAAAAATCAAAGGTAAAGGGAGTTTCAAAATGGACAAGGTAGTTGACAGAGGTATTATTAAAATTAAAATGTAGGAAAAGAATAATGACTTAAAAATTATTAGATTTGTCAACTGCAGGGTATTTATGGTCTTTGGGGTTTTTTTAGGATGAAATTCTAGCATGAGTTAGTAGTAAGACAATTAAAACTATCATATATATTTACAGAATATATAAATAGTAGTGTTTTAGGATAGTGGACCCGAAATCCTTTATGTAGGTAATTATATAGTAGGCAGTTTTCATTTATTTGAACATGTTGCTTGGAACTTTGTAAACAGTAGTTGGCATTGCATACCCGGTGAAACACAGGGTATTCTCCTTTTAATCAGTGCCCTCAATTTCTCCTTTGAAGGAACAGCTATAAAGAGACTAAAGGAGGACTAGGGGGAAGGAGGATGAGTCCAGGTATATTTGAACCTTCTTCTGTTACCGTTCTCTGCAATGTTTATTTATTGAAATCATACTTAAAGAAATGATTCAAGGTGATTTGTGAAAACACAGTCTTTTCAATGGGAGAATAAATTTAAATAGGTAGATTTAAAAAATGAGAAAAATAAGATTAGAAAAGGTAAGATAAAGTCGAGCAAACAGTTAGGATATAAAATACCTGGTGTAATTCCCAGCATATTTCTGATAATAGGTCATGAATTTACTATTTTGGAGGTTATTAATTATAAGATCCATGTGTCTATGAGAAAAAATATTCCTGGAAGAAGCTCAGTGATTTCTCTGTGGTTATTCACAAAGAAGACATTTTGTTAATACAACAAACAACATCCTTAAATTGAAAACAGCAATGTGTTTCATAGGTCTGCCTCTGTTAGTGTCCCTCAATGTAAGTAGATGGTATAAGGCCCAGATATAAATTAAGTAAATAATTGCACAAGGATTCAGTAGCTCAATCCAGGGCACAATACTTTTACCATTCTCTTAATCTGGGGATTGATTTTGGCCTGTCCAGGGAAATGGTGGCACACCTCGAGAACAGCTTCCTTTTTCTTCCCCCTCAATTGAGCTTTTGATAGCAACTGAGTAAGATATTCCTTGTCAGATACCTAGAGTTCAAGGAATAATTCAAGTTGCCAGTTATATGTGAAACTCTGTGCTTTAAAAGGCAGCTGAGCCTAGGGTGGGATGACTTTCCGAGGGACCAAAGACACGAGTGTTAATAGAAGGCATCTCAGCTCCACACAGAGGTAAATGGACACAGCCTCTTTTCAATAAGCAAAGAGGCAAAAAATTTCTCAAGGCCCTAAACCCAAAGAAGCAACACAAAATATACCATTATGTGAAAGAAACCAAATGACTATGTTTGAATTCTAGCTTGGCCTCTGACTAGCTGGGCGGCCTTAGGCAAGTGTGTTAATATCTCCAAGTTGTAGTTTCCTCTTCTGGAAAAGTGGCAACATAAATATTTATCCTAACTACCTTACAGGTGTGCTGTGAGCAGCAAATGCAATTGCTTTTGTGAAAGTTTTGTAAATTACGTACTTCTGTGTAGGAGAAGTTCTCCTTGTTGGTAACAGCAAGGAAAAGATGAGAAAATCGGACAGGAAATGAAAACTCCCTTCTGAGAGCTTGTTCTATAGGCCTCAGAGCCCATCCGGCATTTACCATCATATTATTGCTGTTGGACTTAGAAAAGGTTTTAAAATATTAATCGGTGTTCATTACTGAATTTCTACTTAATTGCTGCTTTTGCAGCTAATTTTTTGCTTTGCATTCATTTCCATATCATCTGCAATTAATATTTACACAATGTTTGCTTAAGTAGCTTGGATAACACATAGTGTAAAGGAGTCAAACCCTTGTCTGCAAACACATGAATCAGACTTATTTATATTTATTTTCTACTATTTTTATTTAATGGAGTTTAATACCATCTCTTTATATAAATAAAGAAAACGCAAGTTTAAACACTCTGACCTTTGGAACATCTTAACCATCCCTAAGTCACTCCTTCCATAACCGTTTGGAAATACTTCTAATTTCAACACTTCTTTCATTTTGAAACCATACAAAAAAAGATTTTTATCATTATTCTTCTTTGTTTTTCATTCCCTGTTATGAATTTCACTCCACTACTTCCCTATTCATTACATTTTTGCACCTCACTGGGTTAATAAATTCTTTTGACACCTACTGCCCCTTCCTTCTCTTCCTATCCCTCCTCCAGGAATGGCACCCATCAATATTGCATGCCAGGGGTGTGCTTGGAGAGCGCAGGTCTGACAGCTCCCTGGCCCAGCAGGGAGCCTCCTTCCTTCTGTTCCAACTCAGTGATGAAAAGAACCCCTCCTCCTTCTGCCTCCAGCACCACCGGCTGCTAACAGCAGACTGAGAGACAGATGTTTCCAATCCCCAACTGTATTGCAAGGACCACTTGAAATGGTTTCCACTTTAGTTTCCTTCCTTAAAAGTCTAATGCTCCATAGACACAGGCAACAGCATGGTGATTACCAGAGGAAAGGAGGGGTGGGAGGAGGTAGGAGAGGGTATAAGGGGAATGAATGGTGATAGAAGGAGACTTGACTTTGGGGGGTAAACACACAGTACAATATAAAGTTGATGTATTATGGAAATGTACACCTGCAACCTATATAATTTTATTAATCAATGTCACCCCAATAAATTCAATCAGAAGTTAAATGACATAAAATTTATTTTTTAAAAGGTTTAATGCTTAAGGTATACTTGTAACTAAAAGATAAGTAAGCACGGTGCCCAGGAAAATGCAATCATTGATCCCCCCCATCTCGGGTAGGAAAAGCAGAATTGAAAAAACTCAGGGCACATAGAATAATACTAACTATAACATAATGAAAGTAAAACTTTACTTGTGATTTAAGAGAATGAATTTCAGACTGGAAGGAAGGAGGAAAAACTGGGTTAAGAGGAAATGAATGTGAGGGCAAAGGGGGTAAAAATGAGTTCTCAAGCTGCCAGCCACTTTAATACTCCAAATACAAGTACAATTCCAACTACTTTGATCATTTCAGATTTAATAAGGCTATGTTGTTATCCAGTGAGATGGAAATATTAAAAGACTAAAAGTTGTCAAAAATTGTTCTGATTTTCTAAGTAGAAGAAAAAACAAACCCATAAGTTGGTGAGATTCTAGTAAAATTTTAGAATGAGAGAAGAAGCAGTGATAACCAAATTTTATTAAGGAAAGAATACGCTAAATTTTAATTGAGTCCTCAGAACTGATAATAATAATTGTCAAGAACTAGAGGATCTCTGAGATTTAATGTTACTCATGAGCTATCAAATTGGCCGCCAGTTTTGTGAAAACTGATAGGTGGCACGAGAATCCTGGTCAGAGACAAAGCACAGTTTATTACTCAGATCGATAGCACTGTCCAGAGTATTATCACTTTTGTGCTAGTTCCCTGAGCCCTGGTTCTGAGAGAGTGATGCCAAGAGAGTCTAACATCTACACACTCAGTGGCTGTATTTCAGGAAAGGTCCCCTGGGCTAAGGGCACCTGAGCCTTTCATAATGGGAGGTAGACAGTCTGCCGTTTGCCCCAGGGATAAGCACTGTCTTTGTCTTCCAAGGCTTGTGCTATGCGATTGCCTTGAAAACATAGTCGGGAACACACTAAAACATGGAACTCCACGGAGAACAGTTTCCAACAGCATTGAAAACAAACAAAACAGTAACAACTGCTTTCACTCACTGAGTGTTAAATGAGGCAACAGATATAAGCTAACTTCTAGATTATGTAGTATTTAATATATAAACCATAGGTAAAGACTAGAGAAAAATCCATTTCCAGTGGCCATTGCTATTATAAAGAAATTTGGTACGTCCCTTGCAATATCCATGGGAATGAAATGGAAAGATGTGACATAGACAATGTACATTTTAATGGATTTATATTTGACTGAACTAAATAACTCAAAAGTATTGACGTCAGGCTGAAGAGATGTTTCAAGTGGTGTCCTTGAAAAGGTCTCTGTCTTTGCCCTATCCTTGCCTTACAATCTTATCAGTGAGTGGAATGAGGACATAAACGGCAGGCATACTAGATTTATGGAGGACGAAAGACTGGGTGAGACAGCCAATATTTGGAGTAAAGATACAGCATTAAGAAATAGATGTCCTGAAATTTTCTCTGACACCATTAAGGTGAAATTAATAGCTAAATATAAATTACTGTACATAGGTTCAAAAGCCATCATCATTGAGATCACATAACTATGGAGATTTAGCCAAAGAGCCTTCCAGATTAGAAATGCATAGAGTGGTTAGTTTAACAGATTGCTCAGCTTTCCTGGGACTTTATTGCCTCGTTTTATAAAGGAGTTGCTTAACCATATTATCTCCAACTTCTCATTTAACTCAAGCTTGCTAGTTAATATTCATAATTACTTGATTGAGAATAATCTAAGGCAACAACTTTGTGAGTAATGACTCATAAAAAAAAAAAAACACTAGTCTCCCTAACTGTGTACTTGAACATTACATTTATTTCAAGATGTCCCACTTTAGTGAAGACATTGAAACACTGACAGACATCTATATAAAAGTGAAGATAGAAATATAGGGAAGTTCTGAAAATCATGATTTTTCTAGCTAAAGTTAAAAAAAATTGAGGAATTGAGAGGATGTTTGGTCTCAAATACAGAAGACTTTTTAGAGATGTAATAACAATCCTTAAATATTTTAAAGGTTTTCATACCTAAGTGGAGAAGAGGCAGGTCATGGACATGTGAAGAGAAGGGTCTGGGAGGAAGATCATGTTCATTCTAAGGAAGAAGTGTTGTAAATGTGAGTTGGTAATAGATGAGGTGATCCTTGGTAGTAGGAGACTACAATTTTGGATGTGTCAAAAGCACATACCACATATCAGCATACTGCAGAGAAGCTCCTGTTTTGGACAGAAGGTGGTACTGATTGGCCACAAGGGTTCTTCCTTCTCAAAAATTCTGAGCCAATGATTGCTTACCCATTATCTGACAGTGCAGTGTTGAGACCTGTCACTGAGCAGGCATTGGCTATGGTCTCAACACTAGCGCTGTGAGACGTCGGGCAACCTGCTCCACACCTTGTGAGCACTGACTTCCTCACAGACCATCTGATAATGTGGGCTCATTCATCCATTTGTTTGTTGATTACAGCCTTGTTAGGGAAAATATTTAAGGCAATTTATTAAAAATGTGAAATAAAGATTTTGGATCTTTAAGGTTCTTTCCATCCAGGCACTCATAGGATAAAGTATACAAAGACAGAGATTCCGTTTTAAGTTGCTACAGAAATACAATTCTGTATTCTGTCTGGTCACTTTTGAAAGAATGAGTTTGCTATACTAGTCTGAATTATTCCTGAAAGTCATTTGGAAGAAATTTATCTCTAGGGTACCCCTATTCTGAAGTGATTTTATTGAAGTATTTTTCAAGTTAGGTCCCAGAAACACAAAAGTACTTAAACCCCTGTGAGACCAATGGCAAGTGTTATCAGAACACATGGTTATATAACTTCATTAGAGGAGCTGTGCTTCTTCTCATTCATTCCATCCTGAAATTGTACATGAAGTCAGGGGAAGTCACCGAAGGGGGACCTGTACCTGAGGGAAGGGGATCCAAGAGGGTCTGGCAGACCCACATTATCATGGAGACCTCCAGTTGTGAAAGGTCCAGGTCTTAGAACAAAGAGTATATCTTCTAATGTGGCTCTGCCTTAACCACCACCACCCCCCCCCCCCGCAAAATAAAAAAGTCCAAAAAGAAACTATTTGTTCAAGTTTTAGATGTAAAATTTCAAAGAGTACATACATACAAATACTATGGAAATGTCACTGATGCTGTTCTCTGCTGTCCTAGGCCACCCATGGAAGACACTCAGATGCTCTTGACCCCTGTGGTGAGCTGTGGACCTCCCGGAGCCCTGCTGACCCGCCCCATCATCCTCACTATGCATCACTGCGCAGATCCCAATACCGAGGACTGGAAGATACAGCTCAAGAACCAGGCAGCACAGGGCCAGTGGGAGGTGAGCTTCTCTTGCGATAAATATGGAATGCAGGAGTAATCCGTGCAGATAAGCAGGAGCAACCATGGGAAGGCTTTTATTTCTTAAAGCAAAATATGGATGGAATTTTATCTTATACTCAAAATGAGAAAGTGTGCAGGTGGAACAAAAAGAGGGGAGAGAGAGAGAGAGGGGCCAGAAGGGGGAAAGACAGAGTGACAGACTGTTTACTGAATACTTTATCCATTTACTAGTAGACACAGAAAATCATGATCAAGCATGGTCAAGTTCCCAGGGAACATGCACTTAGGAGTCTTACGTGAGTCCATTTTGGAATATACACACTATATCTTGGGAAGAGAAATACATATATTTTAAATTTGCAACTAGAAAAGCATGAATCTGGGTCAGAAAACGTTAGGCACTTAATTGCAAACAAGTCCTGGGGGTCTAGTCCCTCTGAACCTGACCTGGGGAAATAGCAACAGTCTTCCAAACCTCACCAGAATGAAGAATACCTCCAACATCTCGAGTATCTGTGGCTGTTGTCCTCAGGACTTCTTAGCAATGGCACCTTTAGCAATCCTGTTCTTGGCATCAGAATCCTTCAATTAGCACCTGTCCTACAGTTAGTTAGGTGTGATAAGATTTGTTATGTTTAGCATGAAGATTTTATATCTAACACCTTTTAAAAACTTTGTATATTTTCATTATTATCCCTTGAATAAACAGTATCTATTGTTTAAATGGAAAAGAGCCAAGGAAAAATTACATTTTAGATTATTCTCAGGAAAGCATATTTCAGGAATATGTTAATAAAAAAATAGCAAATAATTTTAAAAGCTGTCCCTGTATTTTTGTATGATCATTACAAAGACAAGTATCCAATCTATATGTTATCTATTTTGTGATTACATATCATATTTCTCTTTTAAGAGAGAAATTTTTGAAAAATGTACATAAATATTCATGATCCTAATAATTTAGGGAAAAGTCAGATTAGAGCTAGAACAGCAGCCGGGCGTTGTGGGCGTTACCTGAAGCTGCCTTCTGTGGACATGCTCTCCTTTAGCCACCGGAGGGCATTGCTCCTGGCCGGAGGACCTCAGGTCCAAGACTGAAGTCTAGGGATGAACTTCATGTTAAGACCAGACTTAACTAAATCTTGCTTCAGTTCCATTAAACTGTAAATGATTTACCCCCAAAATATTCCAAAGTCTCAGTCTCAAGTAACCCCAAATTGTTTGCACAATTCTCTGCCTAATACCCTAATACCCTGTCTTTGTCTGGATAATTTGAATAATAATAATCTGAGTAATAATAATAACAATAATAATAATAATAAATAAAAGAAAAAGATGAGAAGAACAGAGAGAGAAAGGACAATCCATACGAAAGTGCTCCTACTTATGACAGGGACATGGGGCATCTTTATTCTTGACCAATCTTCTAGGAGGCTTTCTGGCTTTCTGTCACATGCCATTATTAGTTGAGGCTCAGGGCATGTCCTTGCCCTGCTGCAGAAAGCAGCATCTTTCCAGGTGTCCTTTGGGGGCTGACATAAACCTGCAGGTGCTGAGCTTCTACCTCTCTTTCCTGGGCACAGGTTCAGTTAAAGGAACGATTCATGGATGCCATGAAAATGCCGCACTCGTTAGAGCTCAGACAGTGTTGCCAGGCCTAACGAATAAACAGCCACCTGAGGAGCCTACTTCCTTCATATCTTTGTCCAGCCATGGGGACTCAATTTATAATGACACATTCATTCATTTTTTGTACACATAACCATTTGCCCACCATGAGACAGGCCCACTGACATGCAGGGGAAGGCAAAGCAGATATAGTCCCTGCCTCTGTGGACATGAAGTAGCTGATGCAGAGGGTGAGTCATACCCGCACATGTATTTTATTTCTCCCACATCAAATTTTTTTTTAATTTGAATTCATTAAGTAGGAAGGTTCACATAAAAAATCTGAAGTCCCAGCTTTTCTTGAAAAATTCCAGGTCATGTGTTCTATGGGCCTGCATTTCTGCAAAGCTGCAATGGACTGAAGCCAAAAGGAGACTAAATAAGTTCTTTAGACAGGCCTGTGCTCTGCTTTCCCACAGCCTCCGCCATTCCTTATTGAGTCTGCCCTTCCTGCTTCACACATTCCTGCTACCTGGATGCCCTGGAGAGCATGTGGAATTGTGACCCTTGGTTTATGGATTTTATGCTAGGTCTTTCACATGATTTTTTCCCGTGGCCTGCATCATTTGGATAAATCAAAACTTGGTTGAGTTAATAACTATTTTCACAAAATTCATCACTTCCACCTAGTTTTATTTCTTGCTAAATATTTTCAAAATCGAAAAAGATAGATTGACTGTTGAAAACCTTGCATGAAAAATAACAGACAAAATGGTCTTAAAGGCATGGAGTTAGCTTTCTGTAGAGTCCAGCAGCCCAAATTATTGAAGAAAGTAGTGTATCACTTTGGGAAGTAATGGGCGAGTGAGTTTGGAAGAATGTAGTAGAATGGTATCACGTAATTCCTTAATTTTTCTAATTCTTTTCAAACCCCTATATTTTTTTGGAAAAAATAAAACCCTACCATGCTATAATGACATTGAAATAAAATAGTACTTTTGGTTTCAGTGAGAAATTTAGAGATTAAAACATCAAATTATCATAAATATAATAAACACATCTGCAGTGAAGCTAAAAGGATAATTCATGAATTTGTTTTAGAATTTTATGTAGATTTTAGTAATGTAGATTCTCAAAAGATCAAAACATGTTAAATAAATGGCATTTAAGTAAAGAATATAAGCAGTATAAAGGCAAGAGAAGTAAGGGAGTTAATGACTAATGATGGAAAACAACGTATAATAAAGCCTGAGTAAGAAAAAAAGAGCAGGACAATTAATCACCAAATTCAGAAGTCTTGCTCCACCCACGATGGTTGGTCACCATCAGGGCTGCCAGCAGGCTCTCAGGGTCTCAGCCATGCCCCTTCCCACTTGTCCCACAGGATGTGGTGGTGGTGGGAGAGGAAAACTTCACTACACCCTGCTACATTCAGCTGGATGCGGAGGCCTGCCACCTCCTCACAGAGAACCTCAGCACCTACGCCCTCGTGGGCCAGTCCACCACCAAAGGTGCTGCGAAGCGCCTGAAGCTGGCCATCTTCGGGCCACTCTGCTGCTCCTCCCTGGAGTACAGTGTCCGAGTTTATTGCCTGGATGACACCCAAGATGCCCTGAAGGTAGGTGGCTCCTGCCAGACTTGCCCTTTTCTCCTTCACATCAAAGCCAAGGTTTGGTGTGGCTGTGCACACCTAGAGAAAGTGTGTGTGTGTGTGTGTGTGTGTGTGTGTGCGTGCCCCAGTGCATGAACACAAGTGCTCGGCCCCAAAAGTTGCAATTTAAAAAAAAATTAGACATTTCTCTGAGTCCATGCTGATAGACGAGCTGTTTCCATTATGCTGATCCCTCCCAAGGGCTCCTTTTGTTTATCTTCCTTGATTTCCTTTAATGAAAAATTTAGAAGGGAGAATTTGGCAACAAGACGCATGGATGGTAAATAATCTGCTTCCATGTTTATCTCAGCTGTGTTCTTATAAAAGGAATTGGCGTAATTGCTCACACTGTATATTCCTCCTGTGTGCTACTGCATTTATGTGCTTTCCCATTCTTTTTATGAGGACAGCAAGGAAGAGGGTTAGCATTTGACAACAGGCTGCTGCTTTGCAGAATAAATGAGCTTAATACCTGGTGCTATTATTGCCATTCATTTATCCCATTTGAAGCTTTAAAGGATATAGTAAGTGCCTTTGAAGAAGTCACAATCTAGAAGGAGGAATAAAAGAAGCACACCAAGGACTAGGAGACAAGTCAGAGTGTGATTAATGCTGCAGTTGTATGCAAAGTTCTATGGAAGTTCGAGAGAAGAAAGCATGATATTGTTTTGAGGAAATCTGAGAAGCAGCTAATATTTGATATTGGCCTTAGTAGGAAATATAGTTTGACCAGTCATAATGGAAAAAAAATACAAGATTTTTAGGTGAAGGGAACAGCATGAATAAACACGGAGGGAACACTAAATACAGATTCCCTACAGGCATATTAGAATGAAAGGTGGGAGTTCCTTTAGGATGAACTTGATGGCCAGATAGAGGAGTTGAGATTCAGTTTCTTGAGTCAACAGAGAGTCACTGGAGAGATTTAAATAGAAGAAAGATGTGATAGGAAATACATGTTAAAAACGTTAGTCTGTGTCAATGGAAAAATTGAAGCAAGTTAAGAAGAAAAACAGTGCAGGCCTGGGGTGATGACAGAGGCATGAGAAGAGACCAGGTGGGAAAGGTTCTGTGTAAGTATCTCTTGAAGGGCGTGGTGACCGACACTGAATGTGTGGGCAAGAGATCAAGTCCGCCTCAAGTAAGAGTAGTAAATGCAGGTAGCTTTTGGGTGTGGATCTGGTGCCTTTGCTTTGGGAGTATTGAGTTAGAGATATGAATTATGCATCAGGACAAAGATGCCCAAGGGATAGAAATATGGCATGGTTCTCTAAACAGAGAGTGGATCCTGAGACAGAGACTGAAAAACCAATTGTATGTTGATAGTTGTCATTTATGGTGACCAGAGAGAATATCAAGGGGGCCTAGAGGGAGAAAATAATAATAAAAATAATAAGCATTACTGAGAACTTCCTATGTACCAGGTATGATTCTAAATATTTTTCATTAACTTGTGTAATCTTCCTAACAGCTCCCTAAGATAATTATCCCCATTTTACAGAAGTGTAATCCCAGGCACAGAAAGGTTAAGCAAGTTGCTGTAGGTCACACAGCTATTGAGTGGAGAGCACAAGCTTCATGCCCAGGTATCTGGCTGCAGTCTGGACTCTCCAGCCCTGAAGGAGGTTTCTCAAAGAGCCACTCCCTAGAACACAGGGGCCGAGGGGAGCCCAGCTATTGTAAGGGAAGATGGAAGGCAGCCAGCAAAGGAGCTTCTGAAGGATGAGCACCCAGAGAAGGAAGAAGAGAAGTGGAAGAAACATGTGTCAAGGAAGCCTAAGGAAACAATTTTTCTGAAAATCAGGGTATTTCTTTCTAGGGTTTCTCCCCAGAGAGTATTTCTGGGTCATGAAAACTCAGTGTGGCAGGTCGGGTCCGTGAAGGGAAGGAGACAGGCTCAGTCACTGGATGTGTGCTTGATGGTGGAGCCTGTAGGAGTTTCTGATGTTGAATAAATGATGTGAACACACAGCTCAAGCATAAAGCCTACAGTTATTTCTTTTATATTCCTTGCAAATGTGGTACTTCTGAGGTACTGTCAGGATAGAAATCATCCTAGGCTTACATTCTTCTTAGACTTTGTGGAGGAGCCATGGGGTCTGATTAAGGCAAATCTTTTTAACAATTCCAAGACAAATCATTGCAAAAAAGCATATTGTAAAAGACCTACATCATATTTGAAATGTTTGATATATGTATTTTATATGCATACACATAGTCCTTACACTCAGGCACCCTTAACCTTTCTTCTCCAAAGACACACACAAATCCATGCAAACAAAGGTAATATTTTATAAAGTAATTTGATTACTTTAATTAGTGGTCAACACCAAGAAAGACTGACAAACAGGTTTAAGCAGCGAAAACAACCCAAGCGCAGTTTGTATTGCGGTCAGTGCTTTCCAAGTAGACATTTATAAAGTCTCAGCATCTGGGGATCCAGCACTTAGCCTAAAACAACCATGAATAATGGATAAGCTTTCTTGTACCTCATGGCCTTTTAATAATGAGAAATGCCAAAATCCTAGTTACCAGGTGAGCTGTCTATCCAACTTACTAACAGAGACAATTAGTTCAGCCTAGCCAGCACTGCCTCAGACCTCAGACTCTAGGATTGGAAACTTGGGGCAGATAAACTCAGAAAAAGGCCCTTCATTACCTCAGTCACACTTTTTGGGTACCTTGCCTGCTAATGTGTCCTACCAGCCTCTCTCCCATATTCCTACTTTTCTCCCATTTGTCATCCATAAATACTGTCTTTTGCATCACCCCTTCCAAATACCTCCTCCTTCTTCACCTTCACCCTTCTCCTCACTCATGCTCTTCCAAAATCAGTAGTTCTTTGTCCCACACACACAGGAATCAGGTGGGGAGTTTTTAATAAAGAGTTTTAAAAAATTAGCCCTGAGATCTCAACCCAAAAGTTCTCATCTAATTGGTCTGGGTATTGGTTTTTGTTTGTTTATTTGTCTTTAGCACATACTTGGTAATGTCATAGTGAAGCAAAGGTTAGGCACTATTATCCAAAACACTATCACAGATCTTTTTGAAACTTTATTCTATTAAGGATAAACTTTCCTACATCCTCAAATCATTGTCTTCCCCATTCCTTTACCTGTTCACATTAACTGCGAATGGATCTTCCAAGTAACATGCCATACCTCACAACCCTACAGAGGATTACACCCACTGAACTGACCACAAAGCCAAGAGGCAAAAGTGCCAACACTTCTCATAGCCTGTGGGTACCTCTGGGGCATCGCTGTACTTTATGAGCTGGTTCTCTGTTCTGTTGTTATTTATTCTGCTATTCATTACTCTATTCAGTGCCTTAGTATAGAGCAGAATGCTCTATATAGTGTGGGGCAAAAGTAGCTACACAGTTGTTTATATGGAAAGTAATACAATAACTAATAAATAATAAAGGAGTAAACTCTGTGTTTTACATACTTACAACTATATACCTACTTTTACCCACCCTAGATATCCCTACGCTAGCAGTACCTGCCTCACGGTCTTTCTTTACACTCATTTTATTCCCAGCGTCCTCTCATATTCAAAGTTGCCTCTTAATCACAGTTTCTTTGCCTAAATTTATTATAGTAGACTTCAGATCATCCTACACCCTACCAGTGCGGGCCTGCTCTGCACAGGTGTCCAACCTTTTGGCATCTCTAGGTCACACTGGAAGAAGAATTGTCTAGGGACACACATTAAAAACATAGCACCACGTAATCACAAAATAATCTCATAATGTTTTAAGTAAATTTACAATTTTATGCTGGGCTGCATTCACAGCCACTCCAGGCTGCACGCGGCCCAAGGGCCACGGGTTGGACACCCCTGCCTTGCATTTATCCTTCATGTGCTACTGCACCACGATCTCCACCTGCCAAGATCTCCACCTGTAAACCTCTCCTTTTCTGACCACAACCATGTGACCTTCCATCTCTCAGACACGGTGCATGCAAGGCACCCTTAGTTCTTAAGGAAGAAATCCCTCAACCTTTTGTGGTCTCCTGATCCACAAACCCTCACCTGCTCATACCCATATCTATAGGGAACTCACTCGCACTCCAAAATGTCTTGCCATCTGGAACTGTTGCAGATTTTCCTAATTTCCATAGCTAAAGAAGACTCTGACCAAAGAAGCCCTCGACTTCTTCCTCCAGGCTGTTGAGTTGTTCTAAAATAATCATAAATTGCTAATTGAGTCTATTATAATCTCAAGATACCTGCCCCAAGCTTTGCTTCCCCTGCTTCTCCACAGTCCTTTCATTGACCTCTCCTTGACTCGTCAACTGTCACAGAGCACTTCTGCCAAGTCTCTCCCCCTCTCCTGAAGTCCCTGGCTACATTGCAGCCCCTTGTGTTCAGCAATGACCCAACTTCCATTGAACCACCCAAGGGACGCTCGCTCAGCTGCTGTCCTTAACCTTGAAACCTTTTACTTCAGCCTCTTCTAACCGAGGCTGGGCTCTGATGAAGAAGGGCCCCACTTCTCGTTTGGGTTTTAATCAGATCCTTCTATCACCTCCATCTCCTCAAAGCAGGTCTCCCCAGACTCGATATTTTCCTTCAGTTAATGCTGCGGACTGGGAATTCTTTCTGAATGGCAGAAACCTTCCTAGACTGTTGGACTAGGGTAGAGAGGGAAGGCCAGTGGAGTACTCATTCTCAGGGCTAAGGACCCCACAGTCTGGAGGGCTATTAGACAAAGACAACGTCTGGAGCTGAACACAGCGAGAATGCTAACTCCCTCCTATTATCATATGTGCTATTGCTTATACTGTCCATGGTGGGGGGAATGAGGCCACCATGTTAGTTTCAAACAACCCTGCTGCATTCTTTTATCTTTCCATCCATAACCTTAAGTTCAGCAACTTTCATAACCATTTCTCCGAGTTTAGTTAATCCTGGGGGCAAAAATGATTGCCGGAGATTTAAAAGCTTCGGTTTAGCCATTT